TGGACCCAAGAAAGATGTGTTGCCTTCTCTGGCCGTCTGTGTCTGTTCTTCCCATGTGTTAGCAAGACTCATATACATCTTTGTACAATATTACATATGTGTTCTAGAGATAGTAACTTGGAAAAGCCTTTTTATTTTCAGTTATGAACAGTATTTGCTAGATAGTGGCCACAGTTAATGGATGTTTACTAAGTTATTGTGGATTATGTCATTTAGGTTTTTCCCAAGTATCCTACAAAAGTCTGTGTGTGTGTGTGTGTGTGTGTGTGTGTGTGTGTGTGCGCCCGTGTGTAACTTTTTGATGTTAAGATTCTATGTTGTCATATGTAGTTTTCCCTTGAGAATTGCATAATTGAGTTAGGAAAATATCACAGAAAGTTTCAAGGCATTCTTCCTTTCATTGCTATCATGTGGGTATGTAGGCCGTGGGGCTGCAGATTAAACCTGCCTGGAGGGAAAGGATTAACCAGTGACTGGCAATGACGATTCTGTGGGGCAGGTGTCCAGTTCTAGACAAGGACTTGAGAGAACTGCATTTGGAAAGGAGATGACCTCAGTGAAAGATGAAGACAATAAATAAATAAATAAATAAATAAATAAATAAACAAACAAACAAACAAATAAATGTTACTCCACTAAGAAAGGCCAGGGAGGGGGAGGGCGCTCCAAACTTCATCACAGCAAAGGCCTCTCCCAACCCTGGAATTCTCAAGTTGACTGTGGTTAGAACAGCCAGTGTGTCACAGGGAATGATGGGAGTCACTCAGGAGTAGAGCAGCAGAGTCCAGATCTTGAAGGACCCTAGTACTACAGGAATGGCTATGGGGCCTTGATGAGAGTGGCAGGGGGGTCTTTCCCCCCACACATTCACACACACACACACCCCAACACACACACCAACACACACACACACACATTGAACAAAAGCCAGAATTCTATAATGTCCCATCACAGGAGGGAGAGAGAGAGAGAGAGAGAGCACCAAGTGCCCATCTCTTGTGTAGCTTTCCCAAGTTACTAAATTCATTTTCAAGTAAATATGTATATATTTTTATTTCCACACAACTGTAGGTTATAAATATTAATCTCCTACAGAGATAAGCCACCATTTCTTTACCCTTTTTTCCAATTAAAAAAATCAGACTATCTCAGATGTAGAGAGCAGAGAGCAATTGGTTTTCCTTGACATGGTTTTTCCTCCCTTCCTCCCTTACTCTGGTTCCCTTCTCCTCCCTGCCCCCTCCTACTCTTCTCCATCACCCCTCCCTCAATCTCTTTCTCTTTGTCTCTTCTTTCATTAAAATTAGATGTGGGCTGGACATGGGGGTAGGAGTATGGGGCATATAGCAAAATATTGCAGTCATTAAAGATCAGAGCTCTAGAAGAAAACCCTACCGAGCTTTTAAAGCTTTATCTGTGGCTGACACAGCAAAAAGCCTGAGACCTCCACCACCTTCCAAATGCTGCCATTCCTTCATTATTAAAGGCTATCTGAAGACATCTGCTCATCTCCTGCTTGTATTCTTGCCTGTCCTCTAACTCATCCAATGAGCTTTCTAAGCAGTAGCCAAAGTGGCTTTCTGAATGTATAAACCATGGTAAACTCCATGTGAAACTCTTTGCTGGTTCACCATGATGCTTGGAATGAAAAACTTAGTCCTAGCCACACACCCTGTCTAGCCCTGCCTGGCCCTGCCTGGCCCTGCCCCTAATCCTCCATGCCCTACAGTGGCCGCTCATGTTCAGTCATTGGACAACGAACCTTTTTAAGTATATGCCAAGATTTTACCTGCCAGAAAGATTTTTTACATATAATTCCCACTGCTCTTTGTAGGTGCTATCACTCTCCACTGCTGTTTTCTAACATACGAATCCATCTTCCTAGTATTTACTGCAACCAGAAATGATCGGGATTGTCTCTCTTGATCACTCCCGAATTCCTTGGTATCTAACATAGTGCAAGGCACAAAGCAGACCCTCAGCAAACACTGTGACAAGCCACTTGAGCCTGGCCTGTCAGATGAGTGCTTGCCTCTGGGATACCCATTCCCCAGGGTAGTGTCAATCATTTCTAGTTGCATTAAAGTCTGAGAGATGAGCTCAGACCAGCAAAAAGGAGGGGGAAAGCATATACAAAGTCTTGGAGGCAGGTAAAATCTTGGAATGTTCTAGATTTATACATTAGAATCATCAGAGACTGTTCAAAAAGGCACAGATCCCAAGACCCAACTTTGAGAATTCTAATTCAACGGTTTCTAGAGGGAGTCAAGTTCATTTCTTCTGCTGGACTCTGATCCAAAGCCAGTTGATATGTGACCTGTTAGGTCATGCAGGTGGTGTCCCTGCAGGTAGCTACTTGCTTTTGTCATCATGTTGGATGCTGATGTGGGAAGCTACTGAGGTGGCTGCTGTAAAGCACCACAAAGAGCAAACATAGCTAACTCGGTGTCAAACCAGGCTAATTAGACCCACAAAACCCTCTCTGTCAGCAGGTGGGTAAGGTGCTTGGGGAAGCAGCTGGCAGAGATTTGGCCAATTCCTGGTCCTGGAAGATGCTGTCAGAGGAATCAGGGCTCCTTGTAGCAATCCTCAATCAGCTAGATCATCAGAGGCATTTGGGCATGTGGCAACAAGTGGAATTCATCAGGACCGAAAGATAATCTGAAAGAATTTTTCTAGGGAGGATTTCTTATTTATATTTCAATTTTTTACAGGCAATCCCATCTAAAAGGCTCTTGGCTACTTTCTGTCAAATTACCAAGAATTTTAAAATTTCTTTTGTTATGGCCGTTAATATAATGGTTTCTGTCATGTAGTTTTTCCTTAACCGTTTCTGTGACTGCCTGTGAAATATAACACATTGTGCTGTTTGAGAAGAATGACTAGGGGAAAACAGCATATACATATTTAGATGCAATTTTTTTCCAATTTTTTTATCTATTGATTTGTTTACTCTGGATGCAGAACTTTGGAACATGGAGGAATGTGTGTATGTGTTTATGCATATGTGTGTATACATAAATACACACATATATGAGAAACAGTAACATATGTATATAATTTACTCATGCTGGGGATATATTGCAAAAACACTAATGGGATCACTTAAGGCATTCGCATGAAAAACATTTAGGTTTTCATATTCTTTGATCCTGTAATTTGACTTCTTAGAATTTATCCAATTACCCCAAGCAAATAAACTTGGATATATACTAATATGCACATGCCTTTAATCCCAGCACTCGGGAGACACGGGCAGGTAGAGCTCTGACTTTAAGGCCAGCCTGGTCTATAGAGCGAGTTCCAGGACAGCCAAGCCTACACAAAGAAACTGTCTCAAAAAAGCCAAAAGAAAAAACTAATAAAAGGATTTATAGTGGTAAAGTCTTTCCCCAGCCCAGCCCTTCAGACTCCCATGCCCCTCTCTCAAAGCACCTGAAATGTTTGGTTTCCCATTTATTTTTCAACAATATACCTCACTGATATTCTTATATTTATCTATGGGGGGATGGGTAGTCTTTGAGGCAGGTTCTCTGGATGTAGCCTTGGCTGTCCTGGAACTTGCTTTGTAGACCAGGCTAATCATGAACTCACGCAGTTCAGCCTGCCCCTGCCTCCTGAGTACTGAGACTAAAGATGTGCAGAACCATGCATGGCTCCCCACCCCCCATCCCCGCCTGCTTCCCGAGACAGAGTTTCTTTGTGTTGTTTTGGAGTCTGTCCTGGAACTCGCTCTGTAGACCAGGCTGGCCTCGAACTCACAGAGATCCACCTGGAGATCCACCTGGCTCTGCCTCCCGAGTGCTGGGATTAAAGGCGTATGCCACTAACGCCCGCCCATGCGTGGCTTTTATTTCTACTTAAATACATATTTTCAACTTCTTGCCACAAAAATATCCTGTAATGCGCACTGCTTTAGAGCTTGACATCGTCAATAAATGCATACACTTGGGCTTTCATCTGCTTGGGAGTATATCTGAGGGATATATCTCGAAAAGTAGGATTGCTAGGTCAACAGAAATGGACATTTGTAATTTGAAAAAAACTTATTGCCCCCCCAGCCCCCGCCCCCACACCCTTACAAAAAAAATTCTTTTCACAGTTTTTTCCCCAGTACTTTAGTGGTTTCATTCAAAAAAAAAAATTTCTCGACAGATTCATCTTAATTCATCTAGCTTTGAAGGATGCTTACTGAGGATATAAATGGTTTAAAATGTTCAGCCCCTCCCTTCCATGGAAATCCAGAGCTTGTTATCCCCATCTGTCAGGTCACAGGATCTAGTTGTAGATAAGGGCAGCTTGCACAGTTTCGCTTACACAGGGGTGAGCGAGTACCATAGCAAGAGCTGAGCTGTTCTCTTCAGGGGTGGGGCTTCCAGAGCCTGCCGAAGAGAAGAGGCGAAGCTCGCCTTCCACCTTCAAGGGACTTTCCCCCCCCCCCCCTTTAATTCCAGGAGAAACTGCATTTGCTGGATTTTCATTCTTATGCTTTGTGAGCTGGTTAAATAAGCAGCAGCAGGCTCCCCACCCGCCCCACCTCCAGGGATCTAGAGCAGTGGGTGTGGGCAGCGTGGAGTTGGACCCGGCCACGGGAGGGCTTTAGAAAAGAATGCAGTTGCTTTCTGCACGGATTCTGTAGACGGCTACTCCCGTCCGGCGTAGCAGCTGTACTGAAATGTCAGATGGATTTGTACAGCTGACTCAAGTTGCCGAAAAGGGAGTCATGTAGTAGTTCCACAACTTGACTCTGCCCAGAAAATCTTGCTTAATATAGATCCCACATGAGCCGAGCCGTAGTCACTCCTAGGAGCCCAACAAACACCACTGAGGGAGAAAATATCTCAAGGGTGGGTTGACCTGCGATATTTGTTAACGAAGATATTGAGGCATACTGATTCTTCTTCTTTCTTTTTTTTTATCATCTTGGATTCTTTCTTTCTTTCTTTCTTTCTTTTTTTTTTTTTTCCTGGTGATCTAGAAACAGATAGAGACAGTAAACCATGTCGGAGCACAGCAGAAATTCAGACCAAGAAGACACCCTCAGTGAGGAGCTTAATGAAGACGAGATCTTGGCCAACTTGTCCCCTGAAGAGCTAAAGGAACTGCAGTCAGAGATGGAAGTCATGGCGCCTGACCCCCACCTTCCTGTGGGGATGATCCAAAAGGATCAGACCAACAAGGCACCTACAGGAAACTTCGACCATAAATCTCTCGTTGATTATATGTATCTGCAAAAGGCGTCTAGACGCATGGTGGAAGATGAACGAGTTCCTGTCAGTTTTGTGCAGTCCGAGGTAACCCGGGATCTGTGGGACACAAATGGCTGCAGGGACTAGGCAGGGTCTGAATTGTGGTTTCTTGGGACTACAGGATGTGGTTCTGTTTTGGATTTGGCCACATAGAAATTACATCATAATATTAAGTCCTATCCCAGGCTGTAACTTTCGGAAGAAGGGGGAAAGCTGATAGCTTCTTGTCAGAGTCTCTGTTTTAACACTGACACTGGGGTCTCTGTGTGGAGCCCATGGTCTGTAGCTATGATCTGTAATGCTAACTCATAAGCCAGAAGCAGCTGCTCTGACTTTATTGGCTTCTCCCTTTGAGAATGTCATCAAAACTCTACTCCCTCTTTTGCCAGTCTACCTCTGCCCATACAATATTTTACATATAATGTCAAAGATTCCCCAGTTCTTTGGAAATCTGGCCATCCACGCTAAACCAAAGCCAAGACTGAGAATGTGGGTACACCGTATATAGGACATCAGCGATAACACCTGGAAATTGGTTTTTAAGAGAGTCCCTTCTTGAAGCATTTTAATCTAAAAACTAGAACTGCCATGAGCTTTGCAAACCTACTATGTATAAAGCACAATTACGAATTTTAATTACATTTTATTGTTAGGTGTGTGTGTGTGTGTGTGTGTGTGTGTGTGTGTGTGTGTGTGTACCTAAACATACACAGGCTGGTGGCAGGTGCCTTTACCTGCTGAGCTACCTTGAAGGTTCTAAAGCACAAATTTTAATGTTGCACTTAAAAATGACTTAGAAAAAAAGAAGACAGATTTCCCAAGTATGATTTCTTCTGGCCCACCCGCTAGATACAGGTGTGTCTTGTCACATTGCTGTTACACTGGGGTGATGAAAGCAAGTAGTGAACATAAACACGATCTGAACTCCAGGAAATACATCTCTGGTTTGATCGAACTAGAGCTTACCGTGTGACTTGCAGACTTCTTACAATTGTAAGTCCGTGGTTCGAAGATAATCCCACCTGAATACCTATTTTAGGAGGGTTACAGAACCAGTGTTTTTGTTTCTTCCCCTGGTGTGCATTAAACAGCTTGGTGATCGGGCTCCCCCTGCTGGGACAGATGGGGAATGCGATAGTGCAGGTTTTAGGAGGACGTTAAGGACTGTTCTCAACTGGTCAATCCAACCTGCAATGTATCATCAGCATTAAATTCTTGCTCAGACAATTGTGTGCCAGAATTCTCCACTAGCTTTCAGAATTACACCCACAAGATGCAAAGATGGAGGCAAATCGATGCACGAGACTCGAGCGAACACTGATCCGAAAGACCGTCATTTCCTTCCCAGACACAGCAAAGAGTTGTAAATCTCACCCTAATCCAGTTCCATTTTAAGGATGGCTCTTCCTTCAAGGCGATTTGCTTCAGGGACTAGTGAGACTAGAAAACAATGGTGTCTTTCTCAGAGCCAGGACCCAAAACAAGGTTTAAAAAAACAAAACAAAACACACTAGCTTATCAGACTACTCTCATGTCCTTGTACCATGACATGTTCTCAGGAATTGCAATGTGCATGGCAATGAAAGCAGTGGATACTTTAGGAAGGCTAGTTCCTGTAAGGTAGAGGGAAATTATTTTCTAACACAGAGCTGTTGAGTACAAGCACCTCTGTTTAACTACACATAAAGACTTTGATACCTGGACTTTAAAAGCAGTATCATCAAGTTTCCAAATGTGTTCTAACACTAAAAACAAAATTAGCTAGGTTTTATTTTAATGCATTTGGCCTTGTGTATCCTTGAATTCAACCAATTGTGAATTGAAAACACACACACACACACACACACACACACACACACACACGCAAAAGTTGTTTGTTTAGTTTTGTCATGTAGACTGGATATATACAGATTTTTTTCTTTTCGATTTTTAAACAATATAGTATTCCTGTTTACATTACTTGTATAGTAGATATTAGGTGGTCTATAGACAATGTAAAATAGCACTTGTATGGGTTAGGGGTATGTAGGACACACACTTAAGCACCCATGAATTTTGGTGTTCCAGGAAGCAATTCCCAAAGAACCCAAATTTCAAGTGTGTCTGGAAAGAGATAAGCACAGCCCCAACTATGTCTACAAAGTCCATACTTATTTGGTTGTATTTGCTTACCATAGGGTCTTCTGTATCAGAAAGACAAGGCAAACTTAAAACCTAAGGCCACACAGTATAAACACTGGGCAACCAGCAGACCCTTCAGTTGTCTCAGGTGTCACCTTCCTGACTCAGGAAAAACAAACAAACAAAAATCAGGAATTCAGTAATAATTCCAGATTTTTTCCTATACATGTATAAGTTTGTATGTATACATACATTGAATAATATTATACACAAGGTTTGTTAACTTGAGTTTTTTCACTTACAGTGTTTTCATTTAATTTTTTTGTTCATTTTGTTTTTTGAGATAGGATCTCTCTATGTAGGCTTGGCTAGTCAGGAACTCACTATTTAGACCAGGCTGGCCCAGAACCCAGAGATCTGCCTGCCTCTGCCTCCTGAGTGCTGAGGTTAAAGGTGTGTGCTACCATGATTGGCTTCATTTAAGTTTTTATAAAAATCTTTTATGTATATATTGTTCATGTGTACATGAGTGTGTGTGTGTGTGTTGGTGCACACGCAAGAGAAAGAGAGAGGGGGTGGAACACAACCTCAGGTGTCCTCAGCATTTGTCTTGTTTAGTTAGGGTCTCTTATTTACCACTGCATATGCCAGGCTAGCTGGCCATGAGCCTTCGGAGATTCTTATATCTCCATCTCCCATCTTTCATTGTACTTTATATAGGAGCTGAAGATTTGAACTCATGTCCTCGGATCCTCCAGCTTGTGTAACAAGTACTTTACCCATCAAACCATCTCCCCAGCCCTAAAAAGTTCTTGTTTTGTTTTTTGTTTTGTTTTGTTTTGACACAGGGTTTCTTTGTATAGCATTGGATGTCCTGGCACTCACTCTGTAGACCAGGGTGGTTTTGAACTCACAGAGATCCTACTGCCTCTGCCTCCCAAGTGCTGGGATCAAAGGCGTGTACCACCACCGCCCAGCTAAAAATGCTTTTTAAAGATTGGTTTTTCTTTATTATTATTATTATTATTATTATTATTATTTGGTTTTTCGAGACAGGGTTTCTCTGTGTAGCTTTGGAGCCTATCCTGGCACTTGCTCTGGAGACCAGGTTGGCCTCAACCTCACAGAGATCTGCCTGCCTCTGCCTCCCGAGTGCTGGGATTAAAGGTGTGCACCACCAATTCTTGGCCTGGTTTTTATTTTTAATTGTGTGTGCATCCACACATTTGAGGAGTGTGTGTGTGTGTGTGTGTGTGTGTGTGTGTGTGTGTGTAATTAGTATTAGTGTATTTGCATACTATCCCTGAAGAAGCCATGCAAGTTGCCAGACATGGATGGGCTGGGGGAACCAAGCTCAGGTCCTCTGGAAGAGCAGGAAATACTCTTAACTGCTGAGCCCTGTGTATTCTAACTGCCATATACCTATCTTTTAGGAAAATACCCAAAAACAGCATGAAGTAAGAGACAAAGGCGTTAAAAACATGCCCCAGTTTTTAAAAGAAAAGCTCAATAGTGAAATACTTGCGAATAAAAGAGAATCCAATGGGAGCAAAAATACACAAGAAACAGAAGATGATGAAGAAGATGAAGACGATGAAGATGAAGAGGATGATGAAGATGAAGACGATGAAGATGAAGAGGATGATGAAGATGAAGATGAAAAAGCCAAAAGAGAAAAAAAGGAACAAATCCAAAACAGTTCAGGCGCTTGTCAGAAGCCGACTACGAAAGCACTGGAAGAACAAAAAGACAGACCAGAGACCAAAGACAAAACTGAGAAGAAAATAGCCAAATTAGACCCTAAAAAGTTAGCTCTAGATACCAGTTTTCTGAAGGTAAGCGCAAGGCCTTCAGGGAACCAGACAGACCTAGACGGAAGCTTGAGACGCGTGAGACAGAACGACCCTGACATGAAGGAACTCAACCTGAACAACATTGAAAACATCCCTAGAGAAATGTTACTGGACTTTGTCAATGCGATGAAGAAGAACAAACACATCAAAAGCTTTAGTTTGGCTAACGTTGGTGCTGATGAGAGTGTAGCATTCGCCTTGGCCAACATGTTGCGTGAAAACAGGAGCATCACCACGCTTAACATCGAGTCCAACTTTATCACGGGGAAGGGCATCGTGGCCATCATGAGGTGCCTCCAGTTTAATGAGACTCTAACCGAACTTCGTTTTCACAACCAGAGGCATATGCTGGGCCACCACGCCGAAATGGAAATCTCAAGGCTTCTGAAAGCCAACAACACTCTGCTGAAGATGGGCTACCATTTCGAGCTTCCGGGTCCCAGAATGGTGGTAACGAATCTGCTTACCAGGAACCAGGATAAACGGAGGCAGAAAAGACAAGAGGAGCAGCAGCAGCAGCAACTTAAAGAGCAGAGAAAGCTGATAGCTATGCTGGAGAATGGGTTGGGGCTGCCCCCTGGGATGTGGGAGAGGTTGGGAGGACCCATGCCGGATCCCAGAATGCAGGAGTTCTTTCAGCCTTCATCCGGACATCCTCTCACTGCTCAGGAAGTCCCCTTTGGTGGAAGAAAGGAAATGATCAAAAATCCACCCCAACCTCCACAGTACAAGACCGACCCTGACTCCTTCAGGGTGGTGAAACTGAAGAGAATTCAGCGCAAATCTCGAATGCCGGAAGCCAGAGAGGCACAGGAGAAAACCAACCTCAAAGATGTAATCAAAACGCTCAAGCCGGTACCGAGAAATAGGCCACCCCCGCTGGTGGAAATCACTCCCAGAGACCAGCTCTTGAATGACATCCGACACAGCAATGTCGCCTATCTAAAACCGGTAAGTAACAGGAGGGGGAAGCTGAGTATTTCCCAGTTGCCCTCCTCCTCCTCCTCCTCCTCCTCCTCCTCCTCCTCTCTCTCTCTCTCTCTCTCGTTTATATTAGGTTTTATTTTGGGGACAGACTCCATGTATCTCCGGCTGTTGAACCTGTTGGTAACTGTGGGTGCTGTACCCTACCATGCCCGGTTTATGTGACCCTGGGAAATGTACCCAGGGCTTTGTGCATGCTGGACAAGTGCACTAGCAGATGCGCTATACCCCCAAGCCCTGTTAGTTTAACACAGCGGTGTTTTGATGGTTGGTAAGCAGAGAGGCAACACCAATAGAGTTAAATTACTAGTTACTCTCAAGAACAGAGCCCCTTATGGCTTTTGGGGATATCGCTTGCAGCTAAGGTTTATTGAGCACCTGTATAAGCTAACTGAGTCATGCAATCTTCCAAATTCTAGAAGGCTGGCACAATTACTCCCCCCCATTCTGTGAAGGAGACACTGCTGCTTTGGGGGAGTTAATGACATGTCTAGCAGATAGCTCCAGGAAGTGATGGCCCTGATGTTAAAACTCAGTTTTGAGGTGTTAAGCTTTTATTTAGTGCTCTATTTTGAATCCTTGAGGTGCATATGTAAAATCAGACCGTTCTAGGCACACAGAGCTGAGAATTAGAGACCCCAGGAGCCTTCTTGAAGGAACAAATGAGGAAGAACCCAGTTAAGCCCCATTTGTAAGTAGCTGGAATAAAGGTTCCAGGGAATCAGTTCTTTATCAGCAGACAAAGCTGGACCATCTGCAAATATATTTCTGTTTGCTTTTTAGACAGCCAGCCAAACAGCAAACCTTAGGTTACCATCTTCATGAGCCAATGGAATTTAAATATATTACTGTTACTTCAGCTTTAATATTCATGGAGTTTCTATAAAAGTCTGTGATAAAGCTGACTAGGAGAGCTTTATTCCCTGAGCTTAGGTTGCAGAAATGATTTTTTTTTTTAGTCATTATTGCAGTGGTAGTCATACAGGCTGAAGGATCTATGGCTATAGACTGTATTGATTGATGTTTGACATATATATATATATATATATATATATATATTATAATTGAGCTAAGAGATTGTGTTGATAACATAGTCAATGCATTATTTCATCACAGAGAGTCCAGTTTTTTTCAGAATATAGAAAACAAATACCCATGTGAGTCTGTTTTCTTTACTGAGCTTTTTAATCATAAGGTAACTGCTATCTTTCACATATGTGTATAGGGATGTCTTGAATTCCCATCTCCTAGAAATGTATTGTCATTGTCCAATTTTCTTATCAAAGATAGTTTTCATCTGTAATTTGTAGAGTGCTGGACTGGTCCTGGGACAGGTGTCCGGAGAGAATGCTAGAAGTCACATGAGGTCAGGCAGATGTCCTCTGCCAGCCTTTGTCAGGACACAGACTACCTTCACCTGCTGCTCTTCCTGGGGCAGGCAGACCTCTGCTAGGGTAGGTGAGGATGCTGTCTATGAAAACTGTCCACTTGAAGTCATAGGTGGACAGTCATTGTTCTGGTACCTGCTGAAATATAGATGCCGAACCCTCACTGGAACTCCTCTTGGTTATCCTGTTATTGTCCTGTGTTATAGAGATCTTGCTGCTTTGGGTCTGCAGGACCGGTCCCTTCACAAGCTCCAGCAGAACACAGATCGGGTGGATGTTGGGGTGGGTCAACCCATAACCCTGGTTCTGGTCCTAGGTAGTTGCTGGGTTGGTCAGCCCACCAACTCTCCCTTGTCCTCGCCACTAGGTGAGCTCTCCTGCATCACCTTGGCTAGTTCACTCCCTGCTGCAATGATCAAGGGGCGGGGCCTCGGGGCCAGCTCTACTGTGTTGCCCAGGTGTGGTATAGGAGTGAGTGTTGCAGGAGATGAGTGACAGGGCCTGCTCTCCCTCTTTTATGACCTTAGGGCTGGGGTGGAGGGTGCAGCCAGTGTTCTTAACCACTGACCCAACATTCCAGCCACTCAACCTCTTTGTTTTTTTTTTTTTTTTTTTTTTTTTTTTTAAATTCAAGATCCATCTCACTGAATGTGACAGTTGATATTCTGGCTAGACTATCTGGCCAATGAGCCCCTGGGATCTGCCTATCTCTGCCCCCACCCCAGCACTGGGGCTACAGTTAATGCACCACCACACCCAGCATTTTATGCGGATCCTGGGGATCTGAACTCAAGTACTCATGCTCGAACAGTAGGGATTTTACACTCTCAGCTGGCTCCCTAATGTCATTCTTCCTCAATATAAACTAAGAAGGAACATCATTTTTTAGTGGTAGCCTTGCTTACTGACCTCTGCTTTGAACTGCTTTGTACCTTCTGGTTGCTGACAGTTCCTCTTGCTTTCAGTTGCCTGGCATGGGCTGCAATGGCTATCTTTTTGCATGCATCTCAGCTACAAAATGCCCTGTGACATCTTCTATTTAGTCCTGTAAAGTACTCCATGAGGACAATGTGAAAACACATCACTCCACTGTTGGACATGCTTCATTCATGTCTGCTTGCTCCCCCTGCTCTGGTCTGTGCCTTCTTTCCATGGAATGAATGTCTGCTTTAAAGCCAGATCATAGAACAATCCTTTCAAACGATTTCAATATTTTTTTAGCTTGTCTTTTGAAATAACATTAGATTGACAGACACTCAAAACCAGCACAGAGATGTCTTGCCTCCACCCATCACATGTTCCCCAGTGGCTGTCATTATTTATATTGCAATACAGCTGCACATGAGTGATCCCAAGGCATGCGGTTCAATGGAGGTGATGGTAGCATGTGCTTGCCCTGCTTGTGGCCAGCTGCTATAAACACCTTCCACTGCAAGGTGCTTCCTCATACCAGAGGAAGAGAAACACCACAAAGCTACATCTTAAACTCAGTTACATGCAATAAACACTAGCAGGGGCAATGCCATAACTGCCAGCACAAAGGTGTGTATGTCTTTGGTCAGTCAAATGAGACCTGACCAGGTTCATTTTATAAAGGAGAAATGAAAGTTTTGTGGATCTGGGGCATGGGTGCAACAATGAGGTAAAAATTAATACACAATTTTGATATTTTGTGGGTTTCTGTTCTTTTTAAAACATTAATATCCCTGTCCTGGTTGGTTACTTTTTATTTTTTGGTTGTTTTGTTTGTTGGTTGGTTTGTTTTTGTTTTTTGGTAACTTGACACAAGCTGAAGTCATTTGAGAAGAAGGAACTTCAATTGAGAAAATGCCTCCAGGAGACTGGTCTGTGAAGTCCCAGCCCACTGTGGGTGATGCCACCCCTAAGCAGGTGGTCCTGGGATTATATATGTATGTATGTATGTATGTATGTATGTATGTATGTATGTAAGAATGTATATTATATATGATATATATATCATGGGTCATGGTTTATCACAGCAATAGAAACCTAACAAAGCCAACTCCTCAAATTAGAATAGTGACAGTTCAAAACCACATCTGGCAATCATTTGATCTTGGAAAACTTTAAAACACACTTATTTCCCTCTCAGACGTAGATATATTATTTTTATGTATGATTGAGCATATGCTAAAAATCAGCTTGCATTTTAATTTTTTTAATTTAATGCTTATTCTCTCAGTAATACGTGCTCCTAGCCTGGGACTCCTGAATGGAGTCAACAGCAAAGAATAAGGGAAAACATATACACTTTGCTCAAATGCTACATGCTGTGAGAAATAGCCCATACAATTGGAGAGAAATCTCTTTTCTGGGTCACATCTGGAAAACTAGTAGCTATAAACCAGATTTTAGGCTCCCTTTAATTGGGCTAGGCACTATTTTGTAAGTTCTAAATGTCACAGAAAATGCAAATATTTGGCACCACTGAAATATTAAACCAGCCATGCAAAGCCTGCATGTACATGGCACAAATGGTGTGTGTGTGTGTGTGTGTGTGTGTGTGTGTGTGTGTGTGTGTGTGTTTACTGGGAATTGAACTCAGATCTTTTATTTTATTTTGTTTTTTTCAAGGCAGGGTTTCTCTGTGTAGCTCAAGCTGTCCTGGAACTCTGTAGACCAGTCTGGCCTCGAACTCACAGAGTTCTGCCTGCCTCTGCCTCCCGAGTGCTGGGGATTAAAGGCATGCACCACCAATGCCCAGCTTGAACTCAGAGCTTTGCACATGCTACACAAATACTCTCCAATCAGCTCCTTTTGCATTGTGACCTCTGAGGGGCTGAGAAACAGCCTCTCCGGTTTTTTTCCCCAGGCTTGCTGCCTCCAAACCACCTTGCTTCATTCACATTTATTGTTTCCTGAAGAAGTTTTTAGTTTGCTCTTGTTTTTAATGTCTTGCCCAAGAAAGTGTGTTCCTTAGGTAACAACCAACTCCATTTCCCTACAAGTTAATAATTGTCAATCACTCAGAAGCCAACACAAAGCAGTTTCCCCCTCCCTCACAAACGCATGGTTTTCTTTAATCTATCTTAACATTTTGGTGATTCATTTACCACCTACCATTCCAGAGAAACCTTTGTGCCTTTCACTGAGTTAAGATCCCCATTCTCAGCAACTGCTTAATTCACTGGCTCTAAGTTTGTATAGAGCAAAACCAAGTCCTTGTGCCAAACAAGTTGACTATTCCATTCATTCCACCTGCATGTCTAGACTGTTCCAGCCAAGTCAGCAAAGGAGTAGCATTGCCAAGCTTCCCCTCCAGTGAGACTTCAGTTTGATAGCATCCTGTGCAGCCCTGGCTCACAGAGCCTCGGTGGCACATGAGCTGTTGCAGAATTAAAGACGACAGACATAAGCATTCATCTTTGTCCCCGCCCACTTCTTTCTTTTTCTCCGGGTTCTCTGAGTTCTGTCCTTGTAGGAGCTCTCCCCACCTTCTCTTTTTGTGCCAGTCGAAGGCCAGCCCCCTGACTGCCCCTCCACTTTGGATAATCCAGGATTTTTGAGTGTCGTCCTTCCGTCTGTCCTCTGACCCAGCTTCTCTGTGTAGGCCTTGCTTCTCATACAGGGACCTTTGGTGTGTCTACCTCTCACACACTCTTGTTCAAAAATCTTGGACTCACTTCTGACAGCCTTTTTACTTCCTTAAAAAATAAATGCAATCATAAGAGTGGACAAATGCCAAAGCCTTCCCCTAATATTCACAGGGAAGGGATTTTTTGACATACAATTTTTCCAAAATCTATGCAGTGATTTCTCAGATTTCCATTTACGTTTCTGGGCTGTACTCTGGAGTCTCTGGTTGAGTAGGTCTTAGATGGGGAATTCCCTCTTCTGACCAGTTCCCTAGTGATGCTGCTGCTGTTTGTTTGAGGGAACATATTTATTTCAATGACCATGACTTTACAGCATTCATAGGACACTATTGCCTCAAATGATCTTTTCTTCTACCCACTGAAATTGATTCAATTTCTGAGTCATATCAAGCACTGCTTCCTGTTGTGCCCAAATTCTGAATCCCCAAATCACCAAAAGGCCCATTTCAATGCAAAAGCAATGAGTCTTTTATTGCAGTTGTTTATCGAGCTAACCCCATGTTAGCTCAGGCCTTTCATCCACCCACCGTCGAGAATGGCTTGAAAAAGACGCCGGAAGACCACGGGGCAAAGATATTATAGGGCAGCGTAAGTGTCTAGGGGTATGCACAGGCTCAGGATTGGTGTGCCCTCCAGGCTTGGAGGGCTTGCCCTGTGTTGATTGGTCAACTGGTTGTTAGGCCCCATAGGCCCTATCAGGGTGGTTGCTATGCTCTGTGCATCATTGCTGTGCACTTGTTCGTAAAGCACACCCAGAGCCATAAAGCATAGCACCACCAGCTAACTTCTGATTGGTTCCTTGCCATGAGGCAGGCATCTGACTTCCTAGTGACCAAGGCCAGGTCAGGCAAACATGTGTTAGGCTGTTATGGCTGCTGAAATGGGGAGCTGGTCCCTTCACTTCCTAGACACAAAATCAAACCAACAGTCATACCCATCCTATGTATTGTATCTGTTATCTGTAACTCTTTTTATACCTCTATCATAATCTGCTTCAGGGTAAGGGCCCTTCTGGACACAGTGTACATTTCTCAAATTCCTTAATGCATGTCTTCTCTCTACTCTGGATACCCACAGAGGTGTTGGTCCAGTGTTATGGAATTCTTGCCCTGTTCCGCTGCCTGGAGCCCCAAATGAACACATGGAGGCTATATTAATTATGAAACCGTTGGCCGTTGGCTTGAGCTTCTTATTGGCTAGCTCTGTCTTAATTATTAACCTATTTCTATTAATCTAAGTATATCCACGTGGTCTTATCTTACTGGAGAAAGGTCTAGGGACCTGTAAGTCCTCTGGCCTCCTACATGGGGACTGACTCTACCTACGTTTCCCAGAATCCTCCTCATCTCATAGCCCCACCTATCTTGCTGCCCTAGTGGCCAACAGTGTTTTATTCATCAACCAATATGATAAATATATACAGAAGGACAACCCTATCAGTCCAGTTGGATTCAAGATAAATGTCTTAATAACCACCACTGAAATAAATCTTACAATCCTACCACATCTACCTCTGTGTGTGTACTCTTGTGTGCACGTATGTACATATGCACACTTTATATAAAGCTGCATGTGCTTATATGTTTCAAATACATATAACTAACTAAAATAACTAAACTAGGGGCTGGAGAGATGGCTCAGAGGTTAAGAGCACTGGCTGCTCTTCCAGAGGTCTTGAGTTCAATTCCCAGCAACCACATGGTGGCTCACAACCACCTGTATGTGAGATCTGAATGCCCTCTTCTGGCCATTAGGCATACATGCTGATAGAACACTGTATACATAATAAATAAATAAATCTTTAAAAAAATAACTAAACTAGCAAGTTAAGCAGAAAGGAATCCCTAATAATAACAGGAATTGATTTTCTCCAGTTTGTGATTTTGATACTTTTAACCTTTAATTAAAATTCATTGCTGCTGTTGTTATACTTTGGGGGCAGAATCTTAAATAGCCCAGGTTGGTCTTTAACTCCCATTCCTCCTTCCTCCATCTCTAAAGTCCTGAGATTACAGGTGTTTGCTGCCACACCCGGCTCATGTTTGATCTTTTGTGTCATCAGATTCCTTGATGGTTTCTGCTTGCTCTGCTATGGCATCTCTAATGATTACTCATTATGTCTTTTTTCCTTGCAACTTTAGTAGGACCAGGTTTCTCACAAAATGTTTGCTGCAGTGAATGAACTAAAGGGCTAAATTTTCCAGAATAAGCATGATGCAAGATGTCTGGTGTATTAGTCTTTTCTAAGCAGTTAATGATTATCTAGTGGCTCAACCCTTTATCCTGTGCTCTGAACCACCAGCTTGGTCCTATTTGGAACATGGTATTATGGGTCTGGTTCCTATAGTGGGTCGAGGCTACATTTTGCTTTAATATTTATTTATTTATTTTATGTGTGTGTGCATGTTTTGCTAGCTTGTATGTATGTGCACTGTGTGTGTGCCTGTTGTGTGCAGAGGTCAGAAGAGGGTGTCAGATCCCCCTGGGACTGGAGTACAGGTGGCTGTGAGCCACCATGTGGATGCTGGGAACAGAAACTCCATCTATATAGTCTCCCATTTTGCTTTTTTTTTTTTTTTTTTCTCGAGACAGGGTTTCTCTGTGTAGCTTTGGAGCCTATCCTGGCACTCGCTCTGGAGACCAGGCTGGCCCCGAACTCACAGAGATCTGCCTGCCTCTGCCTCCTGAGTGCTGGGATTAAAGGCGTGTGCCACCAACGCCCGGCCCCCCATTTTGCTTTTTAAAATATGATTTTAGAACCTCTACGTGTGTGTACAAACATAATAAAGATCACACTGTTTAAGCTGTTTGTTGCAGCTTACAAGTTATTTAAAGCACTCGCTGTATTTTTGTTCATTGCTCTTAATTATTGTTTCCCCATGGGTAAGCCCTACCCAGACACCGGCCACACCCTTCCTCTTGAAGTCTGGCACCAGAGGTGGAAAGTGTAAGAGGCACCCAGAGACTCGCCTTGGCCTGAAGGGGATGTCCAGTGCTCCCTGTGGAGGGCAGAGCACTGTGAAACATTCCACTCCAGAGACCATGGACGAAGAACTGGCTGCAGGAGGAGACACAGCAGGCCCCACAGGGCTCAGCACATTGACAGGTGCACTTGGGCAAGGAATAGGAAATATGCTGAGCGGCTGACAAATGCCAAGTGTTTTCTTAACGCCATCAGCATCTTCTGGAAAATGCACACACGATGGACAAGCCACCTGCTAAGATAGAGCACCACTTAAAACCCTTTAAGAAAGTCAAGCTGTTGCTATTTGATACAAGCAGGATGTGGATTTTAGAGTTGGATGGATGTGTGTCTGTTGCAGTTTTTTGTCCTTGTGATGTTTACCAAAATATACTCTATTTTCATTTTTTACTTTTTTGGTTTCTTGAGAAATATATTTTATTTTAAAATTTTACTGTACATCATAGTAGAAATGTGCTCCAAGGAGAATAATGTGTGTGTGTGTGTGTGTGTGTGTGTGTGTGTGTGTGTGTGTGTGTGTGTGTGTGTGTGTAAGTACATTTTCATGTCAGAGGTCACCCTCATGCATCATTCCTTGGGTTCTATCCACCTTGTTTTGTGAAACAGGGTGTCTCACTGGCCTGATAAGCTTGATAAGCAGTCAAGGGTTGCTGGCCAGGAGCCCCTGAGATCACTGTCTACTTCTCCAGTGCTGAGACAGCAAGTAGGTGCCATCACACTTGGCTGTTTTATGTGGCTTGTGGAGATCTAACTCATTTGCCACACAAGCACTTTACTAATGAAGCTATCTCCTCAGCTTATAGAACACACACACACAATTTTTAATTATATATATATATATATATATATATATATAAACACATATATATCTCATATGTATGTGCATATGGGTGCCTGCAGAGTCCAAAAGATGTCAAATCCTCTGGAGCTGGAGTTACAGGTAGTCATGAACTGCCTAACACGGGTGTTGGAAAATGCATTCTGGTCCTCTGCAAGAGCTGTTCTCCATAGCTGGGCCATCTCTCCAGCAGTTCCAGCTGTGTGACCTCAGGGAAGTCACTGTCTTCTCAGAGCCCTTGCCTTCCTTGCAAGGCTGGTGTAGGACACAGTGAGATAATGTTTTGGAAAGTAAGTGTCCTCATTTATCACTCACCCCCCACTATGTAACTTGATCATTTACACTAGGGACTGGAAATTCTTAACTGTTATTGTAGAGCCCAGGAAAATGACGCTCGGCACCCACAAACCAGCTAGTAAACACTGGTACCCAGCTAGTAAACTCAAGTACCCAGCTAGTAAATGCCAGTACTCAGCAAGTAAACGCCAGTACCAGGCTCTGAGCTTCTCTGGTTCCTGTGATCTGCTTCACTACAGGCTCACAGATCTTAGAACAGCCGTGACACTGGTTAATGCCCAATAATAGTGGCGTTAGTTGTTCTGCCTTTATCATGATTTTGGAGCATTCTGCTGCCAACATTTCCAATGCCTTCTGCATCCACCAAGACATCTAAATTTTAAGATTTTTGCTGTAAAGCTCTTAAACTTCCCAGGATTCATTTTCTCTTCTTCAAATGCTTCAACCACAGGTGCAGCTGCCAAAGGAACTGGCATAAAAAGCAGCAGTGTCCTCTAGAACAAGATCTGGCCTGGAGGCTGTTTCACCAACAGCGTGGGTGACAGAACCGGGATGTAGCTCCATCCAGGCTAGGAATTGTTTGGGCCATGACAAGACACAAGGGGAAGGATACAAAGTATCAACGTTCACAGCAATGTGTTCCAGTTCTAAGAGTTTGACTGACTTGGGTGAAAATTGTGATGCTTCTTGAAGCAGAAGTTAACATTTTGGGTAAACACTCACTTTACTACTGCTTTCTTCTGGTAAATAACAATAAATCTGACAGAAGTGTTAACTGTGGATTATACCCCCACTCCCATTTTTCTCTTCTCCCATCTCTGTTGTCGTCCACTGCAAGGCATCCGAAAGGGAATAAATCTTGTTGAAACCTCTGAGAATGGGAAGGGTGAATTGAATGCCTGGGTCTGCTGCAGCTTTGGAATAAAGAATGGTTTGCTGGTTCTCTGGAGAACCAGGAAAGCCTCCTGTCTCACTGTCCTGTTACATGCCTGACTGTTGCAACAAAATATCTGACCAATGCGACTTAAGGAAGGGAGAGTTTGCTTGGGTTCATGGTTTGAGGGTCCATCATGGAGGGGGAAGCATGGCAGCAGGAGCCTGAGGCAGCTGGTCACATTGGTCACAGGAGGCAGAGGGAGACGGATGCACTATTCAGTGGTGCCCTCTTGTATGGTCAGCTTGGCAACCCAGGCTGTAAATGGTGCCATTCACATTCAGGGCTGGTCTTCTGTTCTCAGTTCAACCTCTCTGTAAGGTCCCCCCAAAGACATGCCCAGAGGTGAGTCTCCTAGGTAGTTCTAAATCCAGTTAAGCTGTCAGTGAAGATTAATTAGCCTGGCCTGCTGACTGCTCAGCATTCTCCCTTGCAGACTCCCCTGGTCTTTTTCTACCATATCCTATTCATTGGTCAGAGTATCTTATCACAACATCAGGAAAAGAAACTAAGATGTTATCTTTGTCTCTCCAGAACTGATCTCTGGCTGTTAGAAATTGCAATGAGTATCTTTTAAAAATTCAAGCTGTTACTTGCTGCAAATTCATGATAGTCAAAATATATCACACAGAAAATGGGTGGTATTTAAATGTATATAAAATCCATGGCACGTTTAAAAGATCCTGCCAGACTTCAGTTGTTTGTCTAGCGTCAAATAAATACCTATTAAGGTTTTATTAAACAGCTTTCAAAACACAAGGTGGATGTTTTAGCTGTGTGGTGTGATTTTAAGTTTTTCTAGGCTACCACCAAGTTTCCTAGATATTTAATAACGTTCAGTGGACGTGCATTGTCTAAAGTTTCACTAAAACGCTTTTGATAAATTTTATTCTTTTTATGTGATTGATGCTATAGATTCTAAACCCTATCTGAAGCTCTGAGCTAAAGATAAGGCTTCAGATTGCCTGGGACTAAAACACAAAACATCAAAGCTGCCAAAATGGCTGTGGATTATTTAGAACACACAGAGGGACTCTTTGGAAAGACTATACCAGTTCTCTTTCCAATGAGAGGAAAACCTAAATGTTTTCTATTTTACCTGTAAAGTCACTAAACTGGCAAACACCCATTTCTCATAATCTATTTCTAAATATATGAGCAATAAAGGGATGAATGCAATGAAATACATATGCTCACACCATTCCAACTCTAATGTCTATTTTTAAAGTGAACGGCTGCTACAGTTGCTGCCTGCAACTTTATGAGGTACAGGAGCTCTTTAAACTCTTTTGGCATGGCCCTCTAGGGGAGCTTTGCACGTTCAAAAGATCAACTGCTGTTGTCCTCTCTGAGCTCCTAAGGAATTAATAAAACACACACTCATTTCTTTCTTTCCAAATGCTCTCATCTATTTAAAAACCAAACAACCTCGGCTGGAGGTAGCTTGGTGATTAAGAGCACTTCCTGCTCTTCCAGAGGGCCTCAGTTCAGTTCCCAAAACCCATGACAAGTAGCTCATGGCCCCCTGTATCTCCAGTTCCAGGGGTCCAATGTCCTCTTCTGGCCTCTGTGGGCACTCTCTCTCTCTCTCTCTGTCTCTGTCTCTGTCTCTGTCTCTCTCTCTCTCTCTCTCTCTCTCTCACACACACACACACTCACACACGCATAAAATAATAAAAATAAATCTGTAAAATATCTAAACAAAAGCTGATTGGTGGTTGTGCATGCCTTTAATCCCAGCACTAGGGAGGCAGAGGCAGATAGATCTCTGTGAGTTCGAGGCCAGCTTAGTCTACAAAGCTAGTTATAGAACAGCCAAGACTATACAGAGAAACCCTGCCTGGAAAAACCAACCCCCTCCCCCAAATAAAACCCCACCAAAATACCTAAACAATGGAAACATTATCTTGGACACCTTTTATTCGTTGTAGTAACAAAACCATATCTTATGAACAGAACTCAAGTTTTATTTTATTTATTTATTTTTTAGCAAGTCAAGAATAACAGAAGTTATAGAGTTGTAACTACCCCCCACCCTCACCCCAGGAGGATGACATTTAATTCGCAAGAAATACCTTCTGGTGAAAGCATATCGCTACCCTTTTAAAAATTTTACAAAATTTTAACAAAACATTGTTCTAAATAGCTACGTTCATATTCGTAAACAAAATATAAACAACTGGCTGATCCAGTTTCCAATGCACATCAAACAGGCGCCAAAGGGATAGAAATCACCTCTGATTTTAAAACAACAAAGATAATACCACTAAACTAACATATCCAACACATCATAGTCATAGAGGACTTTGGAGCAGATGTCAGACAGGGTTAGAAACAGACGGACACACGGCATCCTGTACTTTAACCGACTTTTCGCTTACTCAGTGTTGCCTCCCGATTCCAAAATGACTGTTCCCCTACATTGGTACTGTTGCTGTCCAACCCGAAATTCTTTTTCAAAAACATACTGGAAACTTCAGATATAACAGGAGATTGGGTCTGTATTTCCTCGGTTTCTGAGGCCTCCCTTGGGTCATAGCGAAGATCTTGACAGGTGGGCCTGTGCATGCATGATGCCGTGGGTAGTTGGGTGGTAAGAAGTGCACCTTCTATTTCAAAACCACAGACAGAAAACGGGTCTGAACAAGGGGAAAGTGCAACTGGGTTCCTGCTGCGGCCCCATCACCAGGCTAGAAGATTTACTCCCTGGCTTTGCTGATGTAGTCAGCCAATTTGGTGATGCTCTCTTCCTGCTGTTCCAAGGCATCCAGGATAATGCCCATTGGCGTCTTCTTCAACCCTATTCCCTCCATCTTATTTTCCAGCTTGTTTTTGAGGTTTCGAAGTCTCAGGGATGCATGGATGAACATCACTGGAAGAAATGATAGCATCAAAGCAAGAATTCCCTTTACATTTTTTAATTACGCAAAAATAAAACTACTGCTGTTTTTTAATTATGTATATGTATGTCTGTGTCTGTGCGTTTATGCACATGAGTGCCGGTGTCTGCAGAGGCCAAAGCATCAGGTCCTCATGGAGCTGGGGTTATAGGTGGTTGTGAGCTACCCAGTCCTCACTTGTTGTCAATGGAATCATTTTTCTGGCCCCATTTTTTTTTTAATTTTTAAAAATTGCATCTATCTATCTATCTATCTATCTATCTATCTATCTATCTATCTATCTCAAGGAACTGTGGAAGTAAAAGGACAACTCCTTCCACCATATGGGTGTGGAGAACCAAAGTGGTGCTCTTGAGCATTGAGCCATTTCTCCAGCTCAAGAGTTCCCCTTTTCACATCAACATGATAACTCTTTTTCACTCCTCACACACTCCTTTTAGCTGTTAGGTCTGCTCGCCTCGCTGATCCAGGCCTTCAGATAGATGGGTTACATAGACTTAAAGCTACTTGTCAAGCTACACACATTGCTTTGTGAGTGGAAGAAAACACGTAGTCCCTTGGAAGAGCTCTGATCTGGCCACGACATACTTTCTTCCCCACTGAAATTCCCACCTTGCATATGTTATTTAAACAACATGATATTCAACATACTTGTCTACCAGTGTGATTCTAACCTGAACATGAATCCACTTACCCAAAATTTCCCAGGAAGGACTTTTGCATTCTGGGTTTACCTGTACTTTGTTCTCTGAATTCCAGAATGCAGGTAAACCCCGCTTTAAGGTGCCTCCATAGAGGCATGTTTTCTTTTCTTTTTTTTTTTAGATTTTATTTATTTCTTTATCATGAGTACAGTGTCCTGTCCACGTGAATCCCTGCAGGCCAGAAGAGGGCAGCAGTTCTCATTTCAGATGGTTATGAGCCATCATGTGGTTGCTAGGATTTGAACTCAGGACCTCTGGAAGACCAGCTAGTGTTCTTAACCACTGAGCCATTTCTCCAGCCCCAGAGGCATGTTTTCTAAAGTATCATCAAGAATGACCTGACATTGTTTACTATGAAACAGACTCCATGGTCCCTCCTTGTGGACCTCTTGTCCCAAGACCTTAAGGGACTGGGCTAGAGAATCTGTATTTTAAGACACTCTATGTGATCTATAACAGCTGTTTTTTGTTTTGTTTTCCCCCATATATGTACCCAAATAGCCTATGAAATAGGGCTGGGGAGTTGATGGCTCAGCAGGTAAAGGCACCTGCCTCCAAGCCTGGGGACCGAGTTTGATTCCCAGGAATCATATGGTGGAAGGAATTGTCCTCTTACCAACACAGATTCTTGAGAAAGATAGATGATAGATAGATAGATAGATGACTGATGGATAGATAGATAGATAGATAGATAGATAGATAGATAGATGCATTTTTTAAAAAATAAACAAAAAGTAAAACCAGGAAAATGACTCAATGGACAATGTGTCGGGACTGGAGTTTGGGTCTCTAGGACCAATATAAAAGCCAGGAAGCATGGCAGCCAGCCTGTAATCCCAGCACTTAGAAGGCAGAAACAGGATCCTAAGGACAAACAGGCTAGATAGAATAGCTGATTGTTTCATCAAGAGACCCTGCCTCAAATAAAGTGGAGAGCAGT